CAGATCGCGGCAGCGGCAACGGGACTCCGCCCCCTTGCGAGTAGCGGAGCCTGGTTCGCAGCTCCTAGATGGTCATCTTCCCGCAATGAGAACATGACTCATCCACGAAGGCCACCTCAGCGTGCTTGATGCCCAGACACGTGAGGCAGCGATCGTGACCATCACCCGGTGCCAGGTAACGACCGCACCCAGAAACGCACGGGTGAAACGGCATCCTTATAAGGACGATCCGTTGTCTTTATAAAGACGCACCCGTGTAGCTCTTTTAGAGAAATTTGCTCTTTTTAGGAAATGCTCTTTTAGTGCTGAGGCGCACAGGGGAGATGGCCGCTTTGCAACACGACAGGGGGTAGTGCAGCCTGAAGTGCGCAACCCACTCGACACTGGAACGACCACCGCTGAAGCGCCGTCCCGCCAACACAGAAAGCTTCCGAGAGCTTGCTGAACTCGTAGTTCTTGAAATAACATAGAGCAGAACGATGTTGTCGCTCGGTTCCGAAGCGAAAAGCTGGTATGCATTGCACCTGCCGCCTTATTATACTCACGCTGTGATCAGCGGCAGCTGGATGCAATAATTGCATGCCAATGTGCATTGGTTAGTTTAGTTTACACTCGAAGTAGATTGGTCTATCGAAGCGATATCCCAATTCGTCGGTCACGACGTGACTCGTAGTGACCGACTGAAAGGGAACACACTATTTATTTTGATTGTCAAGTCACCTTATTTATATAGAGCTTTATGCAATACTGATGGTGTCAAAGCAGCTTTACAGTGAAAAGATAGTGCCATTAGTTATAGTATTCAAGTCTGCATTCAGTTCAGTGCGACAAAATGGTTTTTGAGCGTTTTACATAGAAATTCACTCTTTCATGAATGACACCTATTGGCTTTATTGCATGAGCTAACTCATGCATTAGGTATTTACCCGGATAGATACCCAGAAATGGACAGCGTCGCACTGAATGCCATCAGGCACAAAGTGATACTTACTTTCATTTGATGTTCTGCCACTTGACACTAGGGTGTTATTTGGTTTCATTTATCTCAACTTTTAAGATGTTGTTAGAGACTTTGGCAGTCGATGCAACTCTCTGAAGTCATTTAGTCGTAGCCCATTTGCTTTCTCCCGCCTCACAGTTCAAATAAGTTGAGAACAAAGGAACAATTCCAAATGTTAACAAGGTAAATGCATGTCATTAAAGGGGTCATATGATGCGATTTCAATTTTTCCTTTATCTTTGGAGTGTTACAAGCTCTTGGTGCATAAAGAAGATCTGTAAAGTCTCAAATCCAAAGAGATATTTTTTATAAAAGTTAAGAGTCAACCACGCCTACCTAAAACGGCTCGTTCTAACACACCCCCACATATCTACATCACTAT